TTTTCTCAATGGAAGCTGTGAACAGTAGGAACAAATTTTAAGCTTATGGTTGCATGAAAAGCAAAGCATCCAGAAAATGCTTTAATCATGGATTTAAAAGAATGAACTTTAGTACCGCAAAGCATATGTATGCCAAATTATTGGTGTGAAAGTACTTTTTTAAAATACTGGTCAATAAAATACTTTACTTCATTATAGATATTTTGGAAACAATGTGTTATAACAGGAGTTATTGTTCCCACTGTATTTAAATGTCTTTATATCCTTTTTTTCTAGTTGCTCAGAATTGTAGGCTGAAATGTCCCATGCTTGCCCTGACTCAGAGCCAAAGTTTTGGGAAAAATTCAGCAAAATATATTCAGACATTTCTGAGAAATGGCTTTTTATTAATCAACCCATATTTTTTATCAGAAATTTTGTGTTTGCAACTCCATGGCAAAGTCAAATTTGAAAGAAATTGATTTAATAGCTCTGAAGTTGTGAATGTTACATTTTTCATGCATCTGCAGTACATTTTTTATTTATTTCTTGATCTATGGCATAGATCAATGGGGCATGCATGTGCAAGTGGGTGTTTTGCTCAACATAAAGCGTCTTTGAAAAATCTCACTCTTGAAGAACTTCAGCATAATCCCAAACTTGCTTAGACTCTTAAAATTTCCCAAAATTTGCAAGTGCTTTAGGGAGTCCACAATATCGTAGTGTTATTGTGAGGACAGTGGTGTGGCTATAGCAGTGCCCCCTTGTTGACTTTCCAAGTGCCCAGATTCGGGTCTTCCTGGCAGGGAAGAAGTCTCAATCTTTGGTGTCCACTGAGATGGGGTCCGGCTCACCAGCTAATTGTCCTTTAAGTCTTACCCACTTTCTAGATGTGGTTTTGAGGGGCTCAGCCCCAAAATGTTCTAAAGTAGAAAGCAAATGTAACTCAATAGTGGGCCATCTGCCCTGAGTCTTCCAGGGGGTGGGGATGTCCCTGTCCTTTCCTTCGGGCTTGGATCCTAAGCAGTCTATGGCCATATCTACAATTACCGGTAGATCAGCACTGCTGTGATCGATGCAGTGGTGTCGATTTTTTTGGGTCTGGTGAAGACCCGCTAAGCCGATGGCAGAGCACTCTCCCGTTGACTCTGGTACTGCAGCTTCCCAAGAAGAGTAAGGTAAGTTTGCATCCCATCGACACAGCGTGTTGTAGACATTGCGGTAAGTTGACCTAAGCTACATCAACTTCAGTTACGTTATTCACATAACTAAAGTAGCGTAACTTAGGTTGACTTACTGCGGTAGTATAGACAAGGCCTATGATTTGAGCATTGAATGTTCCTTGGGGTCTAACTGTTCCTCCCAGTGGCTGCTCCAGCTAGAAAGGCTGTCTCCGCAACTCTGTAAGTAAAGAGGGGCAGAGCTCTGTCCTCCTTCCTGGCCAGTCAAGCCCTGAAATGATCCAGGCTCTCTCCATTTATTCCCCCTCCAGGCTTGGCAGTGGCCACAGGTATAGCTGGGCAGGGCTAGCTGAGCTAAAAGGCTCTCCTTAACCCCTTCTCTATTGGTATGGGACTCCTCCAACCCATCACAGGAGGTGACTTACATTTGCCATATAGCCTAGCGTAATGAACAGTGCTCTATTCCCAACTTTGCTACTGACTGGACTTACTAAAACTTCCTACATAAGGAACACTGTGAAGTAAGCAAATATCATTATCCTCCTTTAAAAATGAGGATTGTAATCCAATTTGAAAACAGTAGTTGCCTAAAGTTATACAGTAAGTCATGTGAGAACCAGGATTAGCAAATAGATTTTTCGAAATCATGGCCCCTGGCAAATCCACACTGCCACCCAGACAAGTAACTTAATCTCTCTGTCTTGCACATCTGTAAAATGGCAATGTTTCTAGAATCATAGAAATGTGGGATTGGAAGAGACCTTGATAGGTCATCAAGTTCAGTTACCAGCACTGAGGTAGGACTAAGTATTATCTAGACAGGGGGTCGGCAACCTCTCGGAAGTGGTGTGCCGGGTCTTCATTTATTCACTTTAATTTAAGGTTTCGTGTTCCAGTAATACATTTTAATGTTTTTAGATGGTCTCTTTCTATAAGTCTATAATATATAACTAAACTATTGTTGTATTTAAAGTACATCAGGTTTTAAAAATATTTAAGAAGCTTAATTTAAAATTAAATTAAAATGCAGAGCCCCCCCCGACCGGTGGCCAGGACCCGGGCAGTGTGAGTGTCACTGAAAATCAGCTCACTTGCCGCCTATGGCATGCATGCCATAGGTTGCCTACCCCTGATCTAGACAATCCCTGACAGGTATTTGTCTAACCTGTTCTTAAAAACCTCCAATGATGGAGATTCCACAACCTCCCTGGGTAATTTATTCCAGTGTTTAACTACCCTTACAGTTAGAAGGTTTTCCTAATATCTAACCTAAATCTTCCTTGCTGAAATTTAAGTCCATTACTTCTTGTCCTGTCCTCACTGTATAAGGAGAACAATTTATCATCTTCCTCTTTAGAACAACCTTTTACATAATGGCAGACTGTTATGTTCCACCCCAGTCTTTTCGTCTCCAGACGAAACGATCTTTCCTCATAGGTCATACTTTCTAGACCTTTAATCATTTTTGTTGCTCTCCTCTGGACTTTTTCCAGTTTGTCCACATCTTTCTCAAAGGGTATGTCTGCACTACGAAATTAGGTCGAATTTATAGAAGTCGTTTTTTTAGAAATCGGTTTTATATATTCAAGTGTGTGTGTCCCCACAGAAAATGCTCTAAGTGCATTAAGTGCATTAACTCGGCAGAGCGCTTCCATAGTACCGAGGCTAGAGTCGACTTCCGGAGCGTTGCACTGTGGGTAGCTATCCCACAGTTCCCACAGTCTCCGCTGCCCATTGGAATTCTGGGTTGAGATCCCAATGCCTGATGGGGCTAAAACATTGTCGCGGGTGGTTCTGGGTACATATTGTCAGGCCCCCGTTCCCTCCCTCCCTCCGTGAAAGCAAGGGCAGACAATCGTTTTGCGCCTTTTTTCCTGAGTTACCTGTGCAGATGCCATACCATGGCAAGCATGGAGCCCACTCAGCTCACTGTCACCGTATGTCTCCTGGGTGCTGGCAGACACGGTACTGCATTGCTACACAGTAGCAGCAACTCATTGACTTGTGGCAGCAGACGGTGCAATAGGACTGGTAGCCGTCGTCATCATGTCCGAGGTGCTCCTGGCCACGTCGGCCAGGAGCGCCTGGGCTTACATGGGCGCAGGGACTAAATTTGGAGTGACTTGACCAGGTCATTCTCTTTAGTCCTGCGGTCAGTCCTATTGAACCATCTTATGGTGAGCAGGCAGGCGATACGGATTGCTAGCAGTCCTGTTGCATCATCTTCTGCTGGGCAGCCATGAGATGTGGATGGCATGCAGTCCTTCTGCACCGTCTGCTGCCAGCCAAAGATGTAAAATATAGATGGAGTGGATCAAAACAAGAAATAGACCAGATTTGTTTTGTACTCATTTGCTTCCCCTCCTCCCCCGTTTAGGGGACTCATTCCTCTAGGTCACACTGCAGTCACTTACAGAGAAGGTGCAGCGAGGTAAATCTAGCCATGTATCAGTCAGAGGCCAGACTAACCTCCTTGTTCCAATAAGAACAGTAACTTAGGTGCACCATTTCTTATTGGAACCCTCCGTGAAGTCCTGCCTGAAATACTCCTTGATGTAAAGCCACCCCCTTTGTTGATTTTAGCTCCCTGAAGCCAACCCTGTAAGCCGTGTCGTCAGTCGCCCCTCCCTCCGTCAGAGCAACGGCAGACAATCGTTCCGCGCCTTTTTTCTGTGCAGACGCCATACCAAGGCAAGCATGGAGGCCGCTCAGCTCACTTTGGCAATTAGGAGCACATTAAACACCACACGCATTATCCAGCAGTATATGCAGCAACAGAACCTGGCAAAGCGATACCGGGTGAGGAGGCGATGTCAGCGCGGTCACGTGAGTGATCAGGACATGGACACAGATTTCTCTGAAAGCATGGGCCCTTGCAATGCATGCATCATGGTGCTAATGGGGCAGGTTCATGCTGTGGAACGCCGATTCTGGGCTCGGGAAACAAGCACAGACTGGTGGGACCGCATAGTGTTGCAGGTCTGGGACGATTCCCAGTGGCTGCAAAACTTTCGCATGCGTAAGGGCACTTTCATGGAACTTTGTGACTTGCTTTCCCCTGCCCTGAAGCGCATGAATACCAAGATGAGAGCAGCCCTCACAGTTGAGAAGTGAGTGGCGATAGCCCTGTGGAAGCTTGCAACGCCAGACAGCTACCGGTCAGTTGGGAATCAATTTGGAGTGGGCAAATCTACTGTGGGGGCTGCTGTGATGCAAGTAGCCCACGCAATCAAAGATCTGCTGATATCAAGGGTAGTGACCCTGGGAAATGTGCAGGTCATAGTGGATGGCTTTGCTGCAATGGGATTCCCTAACTGTGGTGGGGCCATAGACGGAACCCATATCCCTATCTTGGCACCGGAGCACCAAGCCTGCGAGTACATAAACTGCAAGGGGTACTTTTCAATAGTGCTGCAAGCTCTGGTCGATCACAAGGGATGTTTCACCAACATCAATGTGCGATGGCCGGGAAAGGTCCATGACGCTCGCATCTTCAGGAACTCTGGTCTGTTTCAAAAGCTGCAGGAAGGGACTTTATTCCCAGACCAGAAAATAACTGTTGGGGATGTTGAAATGCCTATATGTATCCTAGGGGACCCAGCCTACCCCTTAATGCCATGGCTCATGAAGCCGTACGCAGGCAGCCTGGACAGTAGTCAGGAGCTGTTCAACTACAGGCTGAGCAAGTGCAGAATGGTGGTAGAATGTGTATTTGGACGTTTAAAGGCACGCTGGCGCAGTTTACTGACTCACTTAGACCTCAGCGAAACCAATATTCTCACTGTTATTACTGCTTGCTGTGTGCTCCACAATATCTGTGAGAGTAAGGGGGAGACGTTTATGGCGGGGTGGGAGGTTGAGGCAAATCGCCTGGCTGCTGGTTACGCGCAGCCAGACACCAGGGCAGTTAGAAGAGCACAGGAGGGTGTGGTATGCATCAGAGAAGCTTTGAAAACCAGTTTCATGACTGGCCAGGCTACGGTGTGAAAGTTCTGTTTGTTTCTCCTTGATGAAACCCCCCGCCCCTTGGTTCACTCTAATTCCCTGTAAGCTAACTACCCTCCCCTCCTCCCTTCGATCACCGCTTGCAGAGGCAATAAAGTCATTGTTTCTTCACATTCATGCATTCTTTATTCATTCATTCACACAAATCGGGGTATGACTACCAAGGTAGCCCAGGAGGGGTGGTGGAGGAGGGAAGGAAAACGCCACACAGCACTTTAAAAGTTTACAACTTTAAAATTTATTGAATGCCAGCCTTCTTTTTTTTTGAGCAATCCTCTGTGGCGGAGTGGCTGGTTGGCTGGTGGCCCCCTCACTGCGTTCTTAGGCGTCTGGGTGTGGAGGCTATGGAACTTGGGGAGGAGGGCGGTTGGTTGCACAGGGGCTGTAGTGGCAGTCTGTGCTCCAGCTGCCTTTGGTGCAGCTCAACCATACACTGGAGCATACTGGTTTGATCCTCCAGCAGCCTCAGCATTGAATCCTGCCTCCTCTCATCATGGTGCCGCCACATTTGAGCTTCAGCCTTGTCTTCAGCCTGCCACTTACTCTCTTCAGCCCGCCACCTCTCCTCCAGGTCATTTTGTGCTTTCCTGCACTCTGACGTTATTTGCCTCCACGCATTTGTCTGTGCTCCGTCAGTGTGGGAGGGCAGCATGAGCTCAGAGAACATTTCATCACGAGTGCGTTTTTTTTTCTTTCTAGTCTTCACTAGCCTCTGGGAAGGAGAAGATCCTGTGATCATTGAAACACATGCAGCTGGTGGAGAAAAAAAAAGGGACCGCGGTATTTAAAAAGACACATTTTGTAGAACAGTGGCTACACTCTCTTTCAGGGTAAACCTTGCTGTTAACATTACATACATAGCACATGTGCTTTCGTTACAAGGTCGCATTTTGCCTCCCTCCACCGCGTGGCTACCCCCTCAACTCTCCCCCCTCCCCATGGCTAACAGCGGGGAACATTTCTGTTCAGCCACAGGCAAACAGCCCAGCAGGAACGGGCTCCTCTGAGTGTCCCCTGAAGAAAAGCACCCTATTTCAACTAGGTGACCATGAATGATATCTCACTCTCCTGAGGATAACACAGAGAGATAAAGAACGGATGTTGTTTGAATGCCAGCAAACATACACTGCAATGCTTTGTTGTACAATGATTCCCGAGTATGTGTTACTGGCCTGGAGTGGTAAAGTGTCCTACCATGAAGGACGCAATAAGGCTGCCCTCCCCAGAAACCTTTTGCAAAGGCTTTGGGAGTACATCCAGGAGAGCCGCAAATGCCAGGGCAAAGTAATCCTTTCACATGCTTGCTTTTAAACCATGTATGGTATTTTAAAAGGTACACTCACCGGAGGTCCCTTCTCCGCCTGCCGGGTCCAGGAGGCAGCCTTGGGTAGGTTCGGGGGGTACTGGCTCCAGGTCCAGGGTGAGAAACAGTTCCTGGCTGTCGGGAAAAGCGGTTTCTCAGCTTGCTTTCTGTGAGCTATCTACAACCTCCTTATCATCATCATCTTCGTCCCCAAAACCTGCTTCCGTGTTGCCTCCATCTCCATTGAAGGAGTCAAACAACACGGCTGGGGTAGTGGTTGCTGAACCCCCTAAAATGGCATGCAGCTCATCATAGAAGCGGCATGTTTGGGGCTCTGACCCGGAGCGGCCGTTCGCCTCTCTGGTTTTCTGATAGACTTCCCTCAGCTCCTTAAGTTTCACGCGGCACTGCTTCGGGTCCCTGTTATGGCCTCTCTCCTTAATGCCCTGGGAGATTTTGACAAAGGTTTTGGCATTTTGAAAACTGGAACGGAGTTCTGATAGCACGGATTCCTCTCCCCATTCAGGGATCAGATCCCGTACCTCCAGTTCGGTCCATGCTGGAGCTCTTTTGCGATTCTGGGACTCCATCATGGTCACCTGTGCTGATGAGCTCTGCATGGTCACCTGCAGCTTGCCACGCTGGCCAAACAGGAAATTGAAATTCTAAAGTTTACGGGCCTTTTCCTGTCTACCTGGCCAGTGCATCTGAGTTGAGAGCGCTGTCCAGAGCGGTCACAATGAGCACTCTGGGATAGCTCCCGGAGGCCAGTACCGTCGAATTGTGTCCACAGTACTCCAAATTCGACCCGGCAAAGCCGATTTATGCGCTAATCCACTTGTCAGGGGTGGAGTAAGGAAATCGATTTTAAGAGCCCTTTAAGTCAAAATAAAGGGCTTCATCGTGTGGATGGGTGCAGCGATTTAACGCTGCTAAATTAGACCTAAAGTCCTAGTGTAGACCAGGGCTAAGTGTCGTACTCAAGTTGAGGCCTTATCAGTACTGAGTAGACTGGAAGAATTACTTGTCGTGTTTTGCTTGTAACCCTCCTGCTAATACATCCCAGAATGATGTTGCAAAACAAGTGAACAGTATTACAGTGTTGACTCATTTAGTTGTGATCCATTGTAACCCTCCAGATCCTTCTTCTGCAGTACTCCTTCCTAGGCAGTCATTTCCCATTTTGTATTTTTGCAGTTGATTGTTCCTTCCTAAGTCTAGTACTTTGCATTTGTCCTTATTAAATTTCATCCTATTTTATTCAGATCATTTCTCCAGTTTGTCCAGATCATTTTAAATTTTAATCCTATCCTCCGAAGCACTTGTAATTCCTCCCAGCTTGGTATCCTCTGAAAACTTTTTAAGTTTAGTCTCTTTGCTATTATCCAAATCATTTATGAAGATATTGACTAGAACCAGACCCAGGACAGATCCTTGTGGGACTCCACTTGATATGCCCTTCCAGCTTGATTGTGAACCATTGGTAACTACTTCTTGAGTACGCTTTTCCAACCAGTTGTGCAGCCACCTTATAGGCGGTTCATCTAAGCCATATTTCCGTAGTTTGCTTAAGAGGCCATGTAAAATAGTGTCAAAAGCCTTACTAAAGTCAAGATATATTACATCTACTGCTTCCCCTCTATCCACAAGGCTTGTTACCCTGTCAAAAAAGGATATTAGGTTGGGTTGACATATGTTCTTGACTGTTAACTGTTATTTATTACCTTATTTTTGTCTAGGTACTTACAGATGGATTGTTTGATTATTTGCTCCTTTTATCTTTCCGGGTACCAAAGTTAAGCTGACTTGTCTGTGATTCCATCGGTTGTCCTTATTCATTTTTTTTGTGCTAGGTACTATAGTTCCCTTTTCCAGTCCTCTTGGATCTCTTCTGTTTTCCACATGTTCTCAAAGATAATCGCTAATGGCTCATAGATCTCTTCTGCCGGATCCTTAAGTATTCTAGGATTATTTCATCTGGCCCAGCTGATATGAAGACCTCTAACTTGTCTAAGTAATTCTTAACTTGTTCTTTTCCTATTTTAGCCTCAGATCCTATCCCATTTATGCTGATGTTCACTGTTTAGTTGTCCAATCACCGCTAATTTTTTGGGTGAAAACTAAAGCAAAAAGGCATTTAACATTTTGGCCATTGTTGCATTTTCTGTAATTCTTTTTATTAGAATTCTCTGTTGCATAGCCCTCTGGAGCCAAATGCACAACTGGTACTCTATGTAATGGCAATGTCATTCTTAAATATTTAACATTTTCTGAATTGAAACTTCCTTTGGTTATTTAAGCATTATTGCAATCAATTAATATTTTTTGCAGTGTAGATCTGGCCTAATGGTCTGTCTGAATTTTGTTCTATGTGTGTGTCTCATGTAGTCTTATTACGGAGAGCAATCCTTTCCTGTGCTGCTTTCTGATCCCATTTGCTGCTATTAACTGTCCTTTTCTAGTTCATGTTTTTAATATCAATAGGTCTCCAACTTGTGCTTCACCTCCTATCCAATTTACCCTTTCTTGGTACATCTACTCTGCTAATTTTCCTGCTCAGTTATAATGTAAATAGAGATGGCCAGAATTAGAATGATGAATTTGGACCAGGCTATATATTTGAATTTTCTTTATCCATGCCTATCCGTACAATTTTTGTTTCACATCAAATCCAACACTAGAAGGGGATATGTATCCTAGTCTGGATGCAGCCAAAATTCAAATGAACAACTGACTTTCTAAAACTTCCATCTTTCTTTGGAGCAAAGTTGCACAAGAACAGGTTGGTGCTGACTAACCCAAAACTTAATCTAAACTTAATCCAGATGCAAACACCATTTTCTTGGTCCATCTCTGTGAACCCTGTAAAGTGATGAAGAAGAAACTTCATATTCTGTATTGATGGGAATGTTTCTAAGCAAAAAGATTAGGGTACAAAACTGTCCTCATTCCCTTCTTGTGTAGACTCATGGACTTTAAGGCCAGAAGGGACCATCATGATCATCTTGTGTGACCTCTTGTACCTTGCAGGTCACAGAACATCATCCACCCTCCCCTGTAATAGAGCTATAACCTCTGGCTGAGTTACTGAAGTCCTCAAATTATGATTTAAAGACTTCAAGTGAACAGAGACTCCACCATTTACAATAGTTTAAACCTGCAAGTGCCCGCTGCTGCAGAGGTAGTTTTCTTTCCCCCTAGTTCTCATTGAGGCTCTAGTTCAGGGTTTTTTACCCAGTGGATTGGGACCCAAAATTGGGTCGCCAGCATGTTTCAAAGGGTTGTGTGGCAGCTCCTGTGTCTCCTATCTCATGCTCCAGGCACTGCAACCTCTGGGGTCCCAGTGCCGCCAGTCAGGTTTGCCCCAGCCATCATGACAGGAGTCCAGGTAGATCAAATTTGAGTGAGTGACACTGCAACCCTGTGAGCCAGGTCATAACGCCATTCAAACAAATTTGGTCCAGTCATGGGGCTGGGGCACTGCAATACCTGGAGCAGAGAGCAAAGTTTAGCCAGCCCCTCAGCACAGAAGCTGCCACTGTGGGGTGAGTGCCAGGCAGGACCCAAGCCCCCCGGGGGGCAGGATCCAACCAAAACCCCAGACTATTTTCTGGGTCTTGACAGGCCATAAACATTTACAAATGGGTCCTGAACCCAAAAAAGTTGAGAACCATTGCCTGTATCAAGCCTCTGTGACTTTCTCCTTGATGCTCTTCTGGTTGTCTGATTTACATTTTTCCTTTTACTGCCTCTGGTACCTAAGCTTATTTCCCTGCTCCTTTTTCCTGTCCCTTAGCCTTTACTGCTGTTCTTGAGCCGGATCATACTCCTAAAGACACATGTTGTGAGGAAGTAGAGATGGAATTGGCCTTACTGAATGACAGAGGTTTATATTTTCTCCTCTACCCCCACATTATTTGTCTGTCCCTCCCTTCTGCCCCTTAGGACTAATAATTTTCTCTCTTGTACAGGTACAAAATCTCCCTAGATTAATTTTTACTGCCTTTGACATGCCACTTGGAACTTAGACCTAGCTGATTTGTTTGGAAGGGTAAAACAAATGTCTGTACTGGATTCACCATTGTGATTCCCTGTTGTTGCACAAGCCATACAATTAACTGCTTCTTACATGTTCTCTCAGTCTCATCTTTGCACTTTCCACAAAGCCCCTTATGCCTGAAATTCCCTCCCTGCCTGATATGCCATGCCTCTACCCTCTTCACCTCCAAGTCTCTCCTTAAAACATATTATTTCCAGTGAGCCTACATCTCTGTAGTTCTCACTTCAGTAAGATTAACAAAATCAACTGCAGTATTTACAAATAGCACAAAATCATTGAGACTCTCAAAGCACACATGTATATTTACCCCGTTCCTTGTTGTTGTTGCTTTTTTTTTTTGCATCTTACCCCCATCCTAAATGTTATGTTGTCTGTTTAACTCGTAAGTTTGGAGCTGGAACCCTTTCTCCAGTTGTTCGTAAAGCATGTTGGCACCCCTTTTTGTATAAGGAATTGTAATATACTGAGTAATTGTCTACTTGTGCTTCCTTTTACTGATTAGTAGACTTGGCTGATTCACCTTGTTTTCCCCACTGGTGCTGATGATAGGGGAGGCTCCAGAAGGCATTATGCTGTGAGTAAAAGTGGAGCATATTGTGCAAATGCTAATGTGTTCTCCTAAACCAATGCTGTGCTTGGTGTTTTCATTGTAAAATGCAAACCACACATTTGTTGCAGCTGTGTGGACCGCTTTACATTGGCCAGTGATTGCTTGTTTAGTCTTCATTTTTGTTTTTTTTCTTTAACTTCTAATAAGTGTGAAAGGGAAAGAGTGAGGATTTGTTTTCATTGGTGAGAGTGGGAAAGAACTGAGCATGATTCCACATACAGTTGTTCAAACCGCTTGCTGTGTTTGATTTTTGACCTGCAGTGAGCAGGCTGCCAAATCTGTAGGTTGTTTTCATTTTTAATAAATGTTTCTATTCACCTATTGATAAGTTACTCTTACATACTGATTAAACCTTTCTAAGATAAACAGCTCATTTCTCCCATTTTCCACGGTGTATTTCAGAGAGATGTGATTTAATTTGTATACATTGTTGCACTGACATTCCTTTTTGGGAACAAGGGAAGA